TACTATTGTTGTTGTTGTTATTGTTGTTTTATAATTGTTGTTTATAATTTGTACAATTAACCTCCCTGTGGTTCGACCCCGGTCTTGCCGGGTTATTTATTACTTCGACACTCCTACACTTGGGAGAAGACATCAACCTTTTAGTCGTGTCACCTGCTACTATTATAAATGGCTGTACACCTTTTGAATGTGTGTTTAAATCTTCCCCCGATTGCAATTTTTTTTTTGTATTTTTTGGTGTTTATGTTTTCCTTTACTTCGTCTTTATAACTAACATAAACTAGATTTTCGCTGTTTCTCATGTGTGTTTCTAGGCTATAATTCCTCTTATTTGGGTTATAGCTGTTTTGATTTGTTATTATCTTGTATGTATATTGCATAATATGTTAAAATTCATGAAAATACATTTCCTTTTGCATGTTCTGAACAAACAACAAACAATAGCCTTGCCTTCTCTATCTCTACAAATAGCCCTTCCTGCCTTTACCCTTTTTCCTACTCTCATGCCTTCTCCATCTACCCCATTTGTGCCACCTTCTTCAATGCTTTATCACAAAGTTGTTGCCTCTTCTCCTTCACCTTTTTCCCGTGAGTAACAATCCTTCTACTTCATCTCTATTTTACTCTGTTACTAATCACTCTCCAAGTACGGTCTCTGTTTCTCCAAGTACGATGATTTCATTGTGAGCGGCCTTCTCTGCTATTATGGCTTCCTCTCAGCCTCCTAGCAATCCCACATCGAGCTCTTCCTCTAGCTCTCCTCCTGCCTTGTGTCTGGTAGCTAATTTATCTAATTTTGATCTTCAGCAGGTTTCTCATAGTTCCTTAACTCTGCCAGTTAACTCTTCTCGCAGCCACCACATGACACTTCATCCTAGCCAGCCCAAACAAGCGCATCTTAGTGTGTCTCAGTCTTCTACTACCATGTGTCTTGTTTAGTCCTCTGCTATCATGAGTTCTTCTTCTCCTGAATATAAACCTCTCATGTTAAAAAACACCTTTTAGCATTCTGCATGGTAGCATGCTATACAAGATGAGATTCGAGCTTTGCAATCAAATGGTATGTGGACTCTAGTTCCTTATTGTTCCTTTATGAATGTTGTTGGTAGTTGTTAGGTTTATAAAATTAAACGGTGAGCAGATGGTAGTATTGACAGGTATAAAGCCCATTTTGTAGCTAGAGGATTCACTCAACAAGAAGGAATAGACTACCTCAAGACTTTGAGTCTAGTTGTTAAGCCTTGAATTATGAGGTTAGTTGATTAGTACTTAAAATTGCATTTTTATCAAGGTTTTATATCACCATTTTGCACTCGAAGTATCAATAACCCCTTAACTAAAGCATGTTTTGTAATAACATATCTAATAATATAAGATACCTTTATTTTATGGTAAATGTCATTTTAAATGCAGGCCTATCACATAAATAAAAGGATTGATTGATGAATTTAAGAACTGAAATTGAAAGGACAAAGAGATGGTCAAACTTAGAGAAGAGATGTTTGTGCAGTCCAAACCGGAACATTGTTTAGTAATTGGATTATATCTAGAGCTGTGGATCTCAGATTTGGTCCAATTTATATGGATGGAAAGGTAAGACATAGGC